GTTTCACACTAGGAGTGGCGTAGTAGAAAATGCGACGTGCCAGCATGCGTCGTTCGACTTGGAATTGAAACAAGTCGTAACTTGCGACGTATATATTTGCAAGATGCACAAACGCTGTTTATAGATTTTTAACTTGTTCCGTAGTAATAATAATTTCAAGCTTATCACTGTACTTAATGTTTAATATCTTCATAAAAATGCTTACCGGACGATGAAAAATTCAATATATCGTTGCGTTGATGGTTTCATTAGATCAACAAGCTTTTTAAATGTTTTTTTTTTGCATCCTGTAATAGTATTTTACATTATTAGCCAGGTAAAACAGTTTTTACTGGTGATTGAAGGAAATGACCAGCGAGCCCTCAGGCGAGCTTGTCACCTTCAAGAGCCAGTAAAAACTGATACCTGGCGTATGATGTACAATAATTTATTTGTTACTCATTTGTAAACAATGAATAAAAAATTAATACATAAGTAATACAATTTTAATAAATAATTCTCCTGACCCTACTGACTTGTAAAAAGTTTTTACAGTTTAGCTGTCAATTTTACAAGTCAGTAGAGCCAGTAACTGGTAAAAATCAATTTTCGTTGTTTATGTTTTGACTTGATAAATGACGTTTTACAAATGAGTGACAAATAAAAGTTTTTAGCGTGTACTTGCAGCTGCTAAGCATACAGCAAACGTACTATGTAATCATGTAATTTGTCCAATAGCAGGAGGATATTCCATGAATAAACAACTCTGTTGTGTTGCTCAGCAAGTTTTTTCTAGGCAGTTTTGCAGTTTTTTCTTTTTCGAATTTCTTGGAGTGCCCACGACCACGAAGATTTGGTTTTGTACAAAGATTTCTTTGATATTGCAATTGACCTGTTTCGCATAAATAGAAAAAGATAGCTTAATTGTGATAAATACAAGTTGGACAGTAATGAGAGATGACATGCGCGCGCAACTAGTGGGTTGCAGTGTAGTCAGTTTGTATTTTACCAGAACAAATCTAGACAATACAAGTCGAACATTTTACCAATAAAAAGAGATTTTTTACAGCGTGTTTAACAACGCTTTAAATCAGACAAAGGAAGAGCTTTAACGTGTGTTTTAACATCGTTTGCACTTTCATTTTGATAAATGTTTCATCGGGCAACATCGCACAATGAAAGAGCACAGGAATATGTCAAGTATAATCTGACATAATTTTAAACAACACTGCGGTGAGTTCAGTAGTAATACGTAAAGTATTAGTTTGCTCTTTGTCGAATTACACGTCACAAATAAAGAAGGAACGTTTGATTTTGAACTGTCTACTGAATAAGAATATGACGCAAGCCCGTAACAAACTCGCTTCTCATTGGATGCTCACCTGCAACCCACGAGTTGCGCGCGCAGTCAAGGTAAAAAAAGATAGGTCAATTATAGTTGTTACTGGTTATTTTGTTTCGATTTCGATTGAGAAAATGTCTTCTCTCCTTCAAAGATGTTAGTTTTATTTTCATGTCAATCTCTCTGGGTATGGGAAGGTCTCGTAGTTCTGGTGGTATTTTTGTAACTCATTTTTGTATCTACTCTAGAACCTCTATATCTATGATATAGTAGGGATTCCACAATGAGAAATCGTATTCAAGTTTGGTCTTATCATTTCAGATCTGAAGTTATCACGACTCCTTGGTCATTCTGATTTATCACAGATTGTTGTGTTACATTGTTTATTTAGTTCGTATTTTGCGTTTGGATCATTTGGACCGATTCTTAATACTGTACAGGGTAAGTCATTATATTTTGACACCCACCTGCAACCATAATTACAGGTGATAGGTAAAAGGTGTAAGTATGAAAGTTGTAATATTTTATCTGAACCACCAGAATTTTTAATTAGATTGAACAAATGAGCAACACAAAGTTCTCGTGTTTCTGATTCAGATTATAATATGTTGATGTTTCATTCAATAGTCTTGGAAATATCTGGAGTTTAGTTATTCCAGGCATTAGAATGTTTTATGACAGGTACCAGGTAAATCTAGGTGAAATATATTCAAAAAACGTTGTTGAAGTACTAAACTCCAGCTACTTCCTAAACTCTTGAAAGAAACATTTCTGGCGGTTCAGATAAAATGCTACAACTTTTTTGTATTTACACCTTTTACCTATCACTTGTTATTACGGCTGCAGGTAGGTGTCAAAATATGGTAACTCACCCTGTACATTTTTGGACTCATTCAACTTCATTTCCCAATCTGTAGACCGTTCTTCAACAGTTTTTAGGTCAGCCTTCAAATGCCTTGCATGTTGTACTAGCGGATTTGTATAAAGCTTTCAATCGTCAGCGAAGTTTTTCATCTTAGATTCAATGAAACTGACGAGATCTAACAAATATGATGTGAAAAGCAAAGGGCCCATGACCGAACCCTGCACAACTCTTCTACTAACAAGATGTTGATTTGATAGCTCACCATTTACTCTAACTTGATAAAATCTCTCATGCAGTAGATCCTCTATTACTGCAATGAGTTGACCTCTCACTCCAAATTGTTTTAACTCTCCTAGAAGTAGATTAGGAGGGACTTTATCGAATGCCTTCTCATAATCGAGATAGATCGCATCTGTGTGTTGAGAATTATCATGGTTGTCTGTCTAGCCTTGAAGAAATTCAAGTAAATTTGTTATTGAAGAACTTTTAGAGAGAAATCCGTGTTGGGAGGGTGGTATGTGTTTTTTTTTTCAAAGAAAAACGATGTCAGTTCTTTTTTAACAATTATCTTTTCCAGTGAATCAGACTAATAGGCCTATAGTTTTCTAATCTATGTCGATCATTTTTTTTTGAATACTGGAGTCACTATCGGTTTTTTTCCATTGCTGTGGAATTTTTCCAAGTGTTAAGCACTCCTGCATAACCTCAGCTAGTCGAGAACTAATCGATTCGCCACAGTTTTGCAATACTATCGTAGGTATTTTATCTGGACTGGACTCTTTTCACATACTTTTTAGAACTTTTTCTACATTGAAAGTTATAGATTCAGAAGACTCTTTAACCCTCGTATGGATCGGTAAAACAAGGAAAGTGAGGTTCTGCTGAGTAAAGGCTTGGTCTAACTGCTCGGCAAACGTTTCAGTTATAGAACTGCTGTCTAGAACATCATTTGTTATGGGTTCTTTCAGAGTGATAATTGTCGTTACTTTCGAGTTCAGGTTCCTGCTAATAGAATATCTAAATACAGAAACCAATCTAGAAGAAAACTTTGATTGTTCTGGAATTGCGTTGGAAAATGTATTATTTGAGGTGCTCTTGATTCTTGGTACATATCCATAAAATCTTCAGTTTTTTTATCTGGTGGGGAAACCAATAGATTTTTCCATTTTATGTTGGAGTAGTTGAAATCCTCCAATATAAATATTGGAGTATTACTAGTAAAAGCTCATAGTGTTTCCTGGCCTGTAGATACATGCTACAAGTGTTTTTATTTTGGGTATTTGTATATCTAACCAAACTGCACCTACACTTGATACCCATCTATGTACTTTATCTTTGACAAAAATACATTATCCGCCTCCTTTTTGGTTTGGAAGATCATTTCTAAAGTTACTATACCCATCTACACCATTTCCAATTCCAAGCGGCAGTAAATGACATTGACATAACCTAAATTGTAAACAAACACCAGCTTTCCTATTGGTTGAAACGCTCTACCTGGACTAGTGCCCATGCACGGAGGACATTTGATAGGTTGTAATGAAAATGACCAGTTTGTCATTTACTGCCGCTTGGATTTGGAAATGGTATAGATTTATAATGCTGTCATCTAATTCATCTCAGTCATGTTTTTGTTAGCATGATAATTGTTGGGCTCTTCGCCAATACCCTTACCTTCTATTTATCAAGTTCATTCACCACTGAACTGACGTTACTGTCTTCATCCGCCTTCTTATTTTCTCGATCATTGTCTTTGCTCCTAAGAACATTCCATTGACGATAAATCCGCTCTCCTTAATGCAGGCTTCTGTTGTATTTTGTATTTAGCACTTAAAAGCAGCTTTTCTCCATCTCCCAGCACATCATAATTCACAATAATTGCAAGAAATGATTTTAAATAATGTCAAATCAAGACCATATTGACGCAGAGTCTATTTCTGGATAAGCGAAAAAAGCCTTGTTTCCTTGGAGAGAATCTCGCTGCTCAACACATGAAGAAACAGGAGATTCTAAGATGATGTTTCTAGTTCTAGACTACACTTGAAATAGAGCAATCCAGCATTTGTACCTCTTTCGTGTTTCGGGATAAAACAGCATTTTATTTGCCATTGATGGGTAGGTACCTACAACATCAAATCTTAAACACCCGAAATAGTTGTCAGCATCTTCTTCACCCCGCGGCTTCATTAGCTAAAATCATGCTTGGGAAGATCTTTTCCTCGAAACTTATACATTACCGATCGTTTCTTTTTTCACTGTAACTCGTAACGTGACATAGTCAATTTATAAAATACCATGATCCTAAAAATCGGGAGAAAAAAGGAAATGCCAATGACCATACGAAACATATATCCCAATAAAGTTTGCTTGGCCATTCACCAAACTGACCACACAATTTCGTTTAAAATCAAGATACGCAGATAAAAAAAAGTAATGACGCATCAATTACGCCGTTAAATGTGAAAAATATTTTTGGAAAACTAAGCGCAGTTGCCAGATTACCAAAATCCTAAACAAAAATCTTAACCTAGCGAAGAAAAAACATGACCGCAATAGCAACATTGAATTGGGGGAATTTGTAGGTTTTGGCATCGGTCCAAGCATCATAAATTTCCTTTGATTTGGCTTTTTCATGTAAACGTGAAAACGACCACTTACCGATTGCAGTGGACCGTCCCAAAGTTTTAATCGGATGTAAATTTAGATTGTTTCAACACCAACGAATCGATTATTGTTGTTGGATTGAAATTATTCATACATCGTTACAGATTTCAAACCTATTTTTAGATTCACAATCCCGTCATTTTATTTCAGGTTTAGGTCCAGAACATTCGGTAAGAACAGGCGAAGCCCTACAAGACACACAAATGTCGGACACCAGTTCGGATCTTCCCGACGAACTTTACAATTTGACCAAGCTCGCCGAAGTTGCAGTGGCTACGGGGCAGATTCTCGAACGCAGAAACCAAATGATGAACATGAACTCCAACTCGAATTCGGATTTTGAACATCGACATTCGCCGGATGGAATGAACAATATGGACGAAAGAGATCGGGAGAGAGAGAAACAGTTTATCACTTACACTCACAAATTGTTTGATAAGAGTTCTAAAACGCCTAGACACCACTTACTAAAGGTAATTTTGTCGTTGATTGAGTTTTTTTTTTAATTATTTTTTTCTGTAGACTGAACAAATAAACCAAACCCTATTCAATCTGTCCAAAGCCCAACCAGTAATATTACCAGCTAGCAGTACCAGCGAAATTTCAAGTACTTCCTCTGAATCCAACGACCATGAATGTCAAGAATGTGGAAAAAGGTAATAATAATAATCCTCAATTTATTGCTCATCAAATAATAAGTCGTTTTAATTCCAGATATAGTACTTCATCAAATCTGGCACGGCATAGACAAACCCACCGAAGTCCGGCCGATAAAAAAGCGAGACGATGTCCGCACTGTGACAAGCTCTACGTCAGCATGCCGGCTTACTCGATGCACGTGCGCACCCACAACCAAGGCTGCAAGTGCCAGTATTGCGGCAAATGCTTCTCTAGGCCCTGGCTATTGCAGGGCCACATCCGAACTCACACCGGCGAGAAACCTTTCAGGTGCACGATTTGCGCCAAGGCTTTCGCAGACAAGTCCAATTTGAGAGCGCACGTTCAGACGCATTCGAACCAGAAGCCTCACGTTTGCGGCAGGTGTGGTAAGGCTTTTGCTTTGAAGTCGTACCTTTACAAGCATGAAGAATCGTCTTGTATGAGGATCAATAGGCATTCGTCTAGGGAGACTACTCCTGATAAAGGTAAGAAATTGATAAACCAATGGATTCTGCCCTTTTTCATAATTCTTGAATATCAGAACAATATACGAAGGACTTAAGAGTATTTTATGAGTTCGATGATAATAGGCGAGTTCGGTTAATCCTCCGCGAGTTAAAAGATGATACAGTTGGCAGAAGTTCACGTGATCTTTCATTTGGAGTAATGAAACATGAAACTGTCACCGAACTTGCATAATGATATTTCACTATTGTCTTACTAATCATGTTCCAAGTTTCTCCCTCGGTTCATGCTCTACCAGTAACCCATTGAGCATTGAGGGAGTCGGAAATGTCCCTACTGTTTCCGACCATTGTTTCTTGTATATTGTGGTCCTTGGACTGTTCCTGTTCCTCTACTTCCTCTGCATCTTTTCTTTGAAAGATTTCCCCATTCATAAGAACTAATGTTCATAGTCTATTTTATGTCCTGTCTGATCATCAGTCTTGTATCTGATTTTTTGCTCAACTACCCTTATTTCTACCTTATCTTCATCCTCAAATTCTGTCTCTCCTCAAATATCTGCCGCTTCTACTCCTTCTTAATTCTGTGTACTGAGTTGTTGAAACCATTTCGAAAGCAACTTCTCGCTTTCGTCCACTTCTCCTATTGGAATCAATTCTATATGAACGAATTAGTGAATTGGGGGTATTGTTGCTCTGAGACCTGCATAGATCTATTGTGTCCCTCTTCTGTTGATAGAATTCTCGCTCAAAGCACCTCCTCATCCAGCTTTAAAGCTTTTATGAAATTAAGTAGGCTGGATGGTTTCATGAATGTAATTTCTTCCCATCCGAGGGTGCAGCATCCGAAGCAGGCCACCATTCGTATGTTGACGATCGCCTCGAACTGCGCGAGAAGGTGTTTTGGAGTGTCCTCCCGCTCCTTACAGATCTGGAAGCTGTCGCCGTTTTCGATTTTAATTCTCTCAAGGTACCCTCTCGACCGGCAGTGGATTGTAAGGAATCCAGTGAGAATGCGAAGATCGTTTTATTCAGTGATATTAGGTCTTTTGATCTTGGTGAGGGGGCCCGAGAAATATCTCTGATCGCCTTAACCTTGGAAGTTCTTCCTAGAGGCTGAACCATTTGGTACGCCTTCCTGAACGTTTCCTTATAAGTGTGCGTCCCTATGCCACAGAAAGGCTGAGTACGGCTTTGCACTTCACGGAGCATGGAAATCGTGAAGTCATACGCGGTCATAAGCCCAACGCAATAAAGAATACTCTGAGAGCTAAAACGAACAGGATCTTATCGTTTCGAGCGCGCTGAGAGCTTACAGAGTGTAAAGCCGAACTCAGCCAACGGCTCTGGTCCTGAAAGCGGAGTTTGTGCTCCCAATTTCGAAAATTGGTCCGCTTTCTCATTGCCTTTGATCCTTGCGTGTCCCGGTATTCACTGGAGGGATAGTTAGTTATTTTTGCACAGTTTTTTTTAGCTTATCCAGTCATTGTCAAACAATTCTGGGGCTGATTATTGGTGAGCTCAGTGCTCTAATGGCTGATTGACTGTCTAAGAATATGACGATCCCTCTCTTTTTTAAGTTTCTGTCAGGATTGAACTCGGCACATCTGCTTATAGTTTTTATTTCCGCCTAAAATGAGGTGTTTTCCTTATTGCTTCGGAGAACTTGATTCCAGTCCAAGTACTCTGGCACCGGTCCCTCGTTCATTTCTTGACCCTGCATCACTGGAGAGCTCGAAGAGCAGAATAAGCTTTGTAAGAGCTTTGTAAGAGATGCTAATTCTCTGCTTCCAAGCCAACCTCTCTTCCTCTACCACGATGTGAATAGGTGCGAGAACCACAATAATTGTCTCGCTGGCTATAAAAAAAATACTTTGCGACCGTTATGCATGTGCACGCCAGGCGCTGTAGTTTGTTGAGAGCTGCTTTTATGTTCTGCTTCTCAAGTTCTTTGAACCAGACTATAGATCCATATAGTAGGGTTGGTCATACTATTATGGTGTACATCCATCTCCAGATCCCTCAAGGTTTCGATACGCATGCATGGGAGTCTTGGTTGCAACTCCTTTATTGTGTTTTTTCCATCTGAGTTTGCATTTCAGCGATATGCCAAGATATCTGACTTAAGTCACTGGTGTAATAGTAGTTCCGTGTATTCGGATGTTCTTCATTCTAGGGGGTTCTCTCTTCTTAGTGAAAGGCACTACGGTAGTTTTTAATAGGTTTATCTCTAGTCCCACTGTTTGACACCATTCCTCCATTGCATTGAGTGCAGTCTATATGAGTTCACAGTGCAATCCCAAGATGTTCAGTATTCATAGTAGTTCATCCTTCACTAAGCTCTACATGGGTGAGCATACTCCGCTCTGGGGCTCTATTCTTTGAACCAAGAGACAGGAGCAACGGGAGCTCCCAAGGATTGTTCCCTCTACGGCGTTCACCAGAACCAAAACGGGTGTACGTTTAAATTTTTTTATTTTTTTTTGAAAACCCGTTAAGTAACAAAGACACTCGTTCTCCTCCTTGCAAAACTGGCATTAATTTTGAGAGTGAGACCCGCATCAAAAATTCGGTTGGTGATCTCACGTAGGATCCGCAAATAATCGTCAAAACTAGCTGTACGAATGATGACGTCATAACGATAACATGCTACTCAAGATCCACTCCAACAACCTGATCAATGAGTCTCTGTCACACAGCCGGAGCATTAGTTAGCCCAAAAGGCATGCGCTTGAACTGGTAGAGACCACGCGAAGGCACAGTGAAGGCTGTTAACGGACGAAACTCTGGAGCTATGGGGATTTACCAATAGGCGGACTTTATGTCCAAGGTACTGGTGAACTTGGCATCACGGACCTCCAGTTACCAGACTTCTTCTTGACCATCACGATAAGCGAAGACCAAGGCGAATCGGAAGGCTCTATTATATCCTGGGCGATCATCTGCTCAAACTCTGAGTGAACAATCTTGAGCAGCGCAGGCGACATGGGATAGTATCTCTGCTTAATTGGGGACGAATCCGTCTTTATTATGAACTGTACACGGTTGGTACACCCAAGTTTGTCTCCCATCCGGAGAAATGTGTCACGCAAGAGAGTGTCAATTTTTAGTCGTTGTTCGGGACTAAGAGTGTCGAGAGAGTGAAGAGACATACTTGACGGCTTGAGAGTCGGTTCTAAAAGACCATTCACCGGAATAAAGATTGGGAATTTTTCCCAAAAGTCAACTCCAAGAATCAGAGTGTGCGGCAACGAAGGAATGACGAGGGTATCCATGAGTGCTAATCGGTTGATGGCAGCTGAACTGAACCAATGGATGTGCATTGTTGACCATTCGCCACCGTACATTGCACTTGAGTCTCGGCATTAAGGGAACAGAGTAGTTTCAAGATCTTCCAACCAGGACCGCCCAAAATGATTCTAGAACAACCAGAATCGAGAAGGCCCATGAATGAGGGACCAAATATGGAAACCTGAAGAAGGGGTCTTGTGTCGCCTTCTGTGCGAGCCAAAACGTAGTTCAAAATGGCAAGGTTGGTCGAATTTTGATCCTTCGCTGTGAGGATGGAAGACGGCAAGTTGTTCGCAGCCCTCCCACTTACACGTTTTTTGAGCAACGAGGACAGTTTCGGGTAGTAACATCTTTGTGACCGCACTTGAAACAGAGAAGCCTTCGAGAAAGAGAACACTGCCTAAAGCTGTGACCAGATTGGTCACAATACCAAGGTAGTGAATCTGATATAGTTATCTGCTGCCTTTTTCATCGTCTTTAGAAGGAAGTATATGAGACTTAGTTCAAGGATTTTGGGTGTGACTCTTGCCCGTCTCCTTCTATTTTAGGTATCGCCATAATGCTTCTGCTTGTATCTACAAGGTGTGTCATGATCTCTGTTTTCCTCTTTGTCGGAGTGCTGGAAAGATCGAATCCACTCCTGGCGATTTGAAAGTATTTAATGCCTATTCAAGCCGCTCATTAGTGTACCGTCTGGGGTTCGCTCTTTTCCCACTTCTGTTTGTTGGTTTGCTACCTGGGAAGTGTTGGCTGAGAAAAACGAGCGCTCGATCCTCTACCCCTTTCGTGTAAGTACCGTCTGGGGTGGAACTCTGTAACGCATAGAGATCGTTATCCCTATCGCTATGGCACTTGCTGTCTTTCTCACTCTCGTCCAAATCAATAAAGAGGAGACGTCAATAGAGATAGAGAAAATCTCTCTATCCGTTACAGAGTTCCAGCCCTGGCTTTTTCAGAGACAGTCGCACTTGTTGCCTCATTGCCTTATGCAGTCTAGGGCCACTGGAGACGAGGTGATGTTTTCACAGAAAGACCTAAATTTGTTTCTTTCTGCCTTTCTGTGTTTTCTGCACCGAGCTTGGGTCCAATGGCGAGCCAGGTTTGCATTCAACCATGGTTCATGGGTCCCCATTCGAGCATCTTTTCGAATCCGTAGGGCAGCTAGATTCAAATGCCTCTATTACTGCCTCTACTTTCTCTTCCAGTTCCGGGTGATGTCCTGTTCTTCCTGGGTTGATTGCTTTGAGATTTTCTTCCAGATTGGCTCCGTATAGTTCCCAATTTGCTCTCATGGGATTTCTCTTGAGTCTTGCTTTTGGAGGTGCTTACTTCCAAGCTGAATTCTTATAATCCTGTGATCAGACAGGGAGGGTTCATCTTCCCTTACCCTTGTTACAAATCTGGGTGTATTCTCTTTATTGTGAGTATTTATCAAAGTTCATTCCAAGTAACTATTCAGAAATGTCAATTCTATAACTTTGCCTTTAACTTCAAATTCTAAGTTTCTGTGCCTCTCATCAAAACTTCCTCTGTCGCTTTCTTGACCTTTATAAAAAGTGCCTTTTTCCTGACTTGGAGTGAGTATTTGCAGCTAGTGTGGGTTCTTGAAGGTAAAGCCTAGTGGTGTGTTTTCTTCTTCTTCGCCGTCTGTTAGGTACGTTTAGCTTTCTTCTATTTTACTGTTAATTTTGTCCAGGGATGCTAAATTTTCAACTTCAATAGATTTGAAAAAGGCTTTTCATCAGATACCACTGGATGAGGAATCTAGGCCTAAAACAGCATTTGCAGTCCATGGGAAGGGACTTTTTCAGTACAAAATTTTACCTTTTGGGTTAAATAGTAGTGCACAAGCTATGTGAGGGTTGATGGATTTGGTTATTGGGCCCGCACTTGAACCCCATATTTTCTATTATTTGGATGACATAATTTGTGTAACCAGTGATTTTGAGATCCACGGCAGAGTTTTGAGGCAACTCTTTGTCCGTTTAAAGGAGGCTAAACTCACTATAAATTTCAAAAAATGTCAATTTTGTTGACCTTCACTAAAATTTCTTGGTTATGTAGTGGATCAACAGGGACTTCGGACTGATCCGGAGAAAGTTTCAGCTATTTTGGAGTATCCTAGACCTCGAAATACGACACAAATCAGGAGACTTGTGGGTTTGGTTGCTCATTATCGCAGGTTCATCAACAATTTCTTGACTTTGTGCAGCCCAATTACTGATTTATTGAAGGGTAGAAAGAAAGGTTAATCAATTCAATGGACTCCACAGGCTGAGGAAGCTTTCCTCCAAATCAAGCAAAGTTGGATTTTGAGTGGTTTCATTTGCACATAAAGGGGCTACACGTTATCTTGATTTTTTAAATTCCACGACCCTAGGTTATCTTATCTTAAAGTAACAAATTCCAATTTTATTTGTAACAAGTTGGCGCCCAACGTAGGGCAACTCTGACGGGAATCTCTTCAGAGCTCAACGTGACCAGAGGAATTCGTTCCCTTTTCTGGGGAACTTCTGTATAGTGGCCCAAATGAATTGGATGGGCATAGTTTTTAAATCTCCAGTAGTAGGTACTGGGGTTTCCTAGCATTTGCTTTGCTTTCTGCCCATTATTGGTAAAATAGCGCCTACAACAAACATGTCACAACTCTCTTCGATAGGGGTGATATGATATGTGGATCGTAGCTGGAGGTGCTTTGATGACGATGAAGAGAAAATCTTCATAAAATGGTGGGGCTAATAGATTTTTATAAAATAACTACAACCACACTGTCATCTATTTAAAAGTAGGTCTTTGGTTTTGCAATTGTGCATCAACCACGGATTTATGAAGGCGCCCTCAACAGTCCGTAACTTGGTCGCCATAACGTATCACATTGCTGAGGACATTGACAACAGGCTCCAAACTGACGTCATTTACACCGATTTTTCAAAAGCATTCGACAGAATCGACCATGGCTTATTGCTTAATAAACTCAGTGCCTTTGGTTTATTTAGAGGCCTCATTAGTCCTATTTGAAGGGTCGAACTCAGTAATTATTCAGGTCAAAGGGTTCAAGTTTGCAGAGTTTGTTGTAACGTCTAGTGTCCCACAAGGCTCCAACTTGGGACTTTTATCGAAAGAATAACTTGCCCTTAAACTCACAGTTTGAGGTAGTCGCGCATTTGAGAATGTGTCTACTATAAACATATTGTATATGGCCTTTGTGCGATCCAAACTAGAATATGCTTCTGTAGTCTGGTCTCCTTATTATCCATCAGCATCATATTGACCGTAATGAAGTAGTGCAGAGACGATTTCTGAACTTATTAGGCTTGAAGCTTGATGGAACTTAGCCACCTATAGGAATACCAAATTCTGATCTTTGACAAAGACATAATTATTTTTCTCTTTTGGATTAAGACGATCATGCAATAGTGTCATTTTAACTCACAAAATTTTGAATAATTTAATTGATTTCCCATATATACTTAGTAAAATTAACATTAGAGTTCCAAGAGATAATTCCAGAGTTTTAACTCCTCTCGAAGAGTCACTCTCCGTTATACACCTTGCTTGCAGCAATAAACTCTGTAGGACTAAATATTGACATATTTTGTTGTTAATTGAAAAACACCAAATCTCATTTTTATAGTAGTGTTGTATTACAAAATCTTATTGGTATGAAGGACTAACTATATTTACATTTTAATTATAAGTCGGATTACATATACGTTCCTCTACTCTGTAATTGGGTTTTACCTGTAGAGTTTTGTATTAATTCAATAAATAAATGTATTTATTTTTTTCTAGAAAAATCCATCCCATCCCCAACACCAGTAATAATGTCATCAACAAGACTCGCCAATATCGATGCTATAAGATCGCCAATGCTCTACCGATCCACCGTCATCTCTCCAAATCCGGAACGAATACTCTACAGTACAATCAAGCATCCTTCTATGGTACTGAACGCGGCAGTGTTCAATCATATGCTGGCTCAGGAACAACCCATGGATTTTTCGAAAAGGGGGGCGAGTTTTGGAGAGCCTAAAAGGGATGGTAAAAATGCAGGCTACTCTCTGATGGCCATCAAAGTGTAATCGAGTGACCAATTCGAGTTGTTATTATTATTTATATATTATTCCTACAAGGGACCACAAAGTTATGTGTGATTGTTTTTGAAATTTTCGTTATTGTCTGTGAATTTTTATATGTGCCAAATAAGGCAAAAAGAATTGTATCAAGTATTAATTTTAGAAATTTTAAAAAGTTTTTAGTAAGGTTCCTTTAGCTTAAATTATTGATCTTATTTATTTAATACATAAATCTATACTGAGTGTTTTATTAATTAGTTGCAATTTATATTGATCCTATATAATCACTACATATTATAATTTATAATAATTATAAAACAATATGTATATCTAATATTGGTTCTTAATAATTTGCCCTCCTGTGAGCAGCTATAGTACTTAAATTTTTGTAAATATTTGTATGTAGTGATGAGTATTCCGTACTCTTCAATATGGCAACAAAAAATACTATTAGCCGATACATTATTATTATTATTTTCTTCTTAGTTCTAGTTATTTTTTGTTTTAATTTTGTACAACAATAATATGGGAGTCAAACTAGTCTGAAAATGCCATATTTTTTATTGAAGACCTAGCGTCGAAAAAAATATGGCATGAGAAACGTTTTTAGTCATTATTTTTAAGTTTTGTTTTTAGTTTCGCTTATAATATTTATTTTATTTTTGTTATATCGGCTAATGATATAACGGTGCTAGTCATTAATTTTTAAGGATTTTTAGATTAGTTTTATTTATTCTTACCTTTTGATTTTCTTAAGGAAGGCTGGAATGTGCAATAAAATAATATTTGTAGAATATAGGAATTTTTAGTTTAACAAACAATTTTCTGTATTGTTTGTTTTGTGTTTAAATACTATTTTCAATGTATGTTCTCATGATTAATAATTATTATTGTTATTTATAATATTGTCCAAGTGTTTTTAGTAATTTAGTCATTCCGTAGTGTTTATTTATTTGTGTTAATTGATGGTATCTGATATACACCTATAGTGCCTTTCTGTTGTGTGAAATCACCATAAAAAATTTAGATTTTAGAAAAATGCATATGTATCTGCATTCCTTTTCCTTCAGATATAATTTCGTTTTTCTGTCTATAATCGCCATTTTTGTGTACTTTTATACAGTCGAATAAAAAAGTTTCTAGAAAAATTTATTATTTGAATCATTTGAAATTCCTATGTTTGTTGTTCTTTAGTAAGATAGTAAGATTTCTTCTGTGTTTTTCAAGGATACTATTGGTAATTTAAAAGAAGTTTGCGGCATTAAACTAATTACAGAAAGTGGCGCTTCCGCCACGGTGTAGAGAATTGGACAACTGATTCTAGATTTCCTGTTGCTCTTCGGGAAAAAGGTTTATCACGGTTATTCCGGATTATTCAAGAATAGATTAGGGATATATAGAGGCCGGTATTAGTTAGTAGTTTTTAAGTTTTAAGATTGACTGTGATACGATTTAGATAGTGCATTTTGTAAGAGTTGTAAAGAGTTAAGTTGTTTGAGTTAATTAGTGAAGCAATTAGTGTCAGAGTGTGTATTGTTCGTCGTTTTTAATCTGACACTTTCCGTATGAAGAACGAGGGGGTGAAGCTTATGGCAAAAACAGGTGAGCTGTCAGGTGATCATTGGCGTTTTAATGTAGGGAGCTACCAGCTCACATTCCTTTGGAGTACCTATCAGATTAAAATCGACGGACTTTAGTAACGTGGAATAAATTATTGTTGTGTTAATTGAACTTGGATTTTGGAATAAACGAAGCCCAAGATTTCTGTCACGCACCCCAGAGCCGTGACAATATTTATACAACCAAATTTACACTAATAGCAGGTACCTACTACAAGTAATAGTAGGTAAGTAATTCTGGATTTAAACTTCTCCAATAGCTTCCCTTAATCCAGCAATACCTAAAAATGTTTATTCTGAACCTAAATTTTTCACATATTCATTATGTTTTGGTCCATGCAAACTTTAAGTGAAAATATTAGCTATCATTTTATCTGTTGCGAATAATTTAACTGAATATTACCATTCTCAACTGCATCTCTTATTAAATGATACTTCACATTAATATGTTCAATACGATTGTGAAACATAGGATTAACTACCAATTTCTGGTCACTTTAATTATCATTGAGTATCAAAATTTCATCCTCCAATCCCAAAAGCACATTTGAAATATACTAAAGAAATAAAGCCTCTTTTGTGACCAATGAAAAGGAAACATTCAGTGCTGGATGAACTTATGCAACTTTGTTTCTCAGCCTCCCAAGAAATTCCCCTCCAGTCAAATTGAAAACATATCCACTGTATGACTTTCCATCATTAATGTCATTTCCCCAATCTGCGTAACAATATCCACAAATATTATCATTATCTGATAAAGTGTTTTCATTCAGGCTTAATGGCCGTCGTAAGTTAGAATTTCTTCCTGACGTTTCGCTAGCACGCGTGGCTAGGATTTCCAGGGGTGCTTCCATGTCCGATTCTGTAGTAGGTGCAACAATATACCGTTGACTCTTACTGCAATAAATTAACTACCCTATTGTATAGGCCTCAACCTCTTCAAAGCTCAATAAATGGAATCAGGGTCGGCTTAAAAATGTACCTATACCACATGATTTATTTTCATAATTTAAAATAATTGGACACTTTTAGATTAAGGTAAGGGTAAAATAACGATAACAAGTTTTAATTCAAAATAATATAATTTAAAAGTATAACTCTTAAGATAAGAAACACAATAGAATTTAACGAAAATCCACAACTACTGATAATTTATTCCTTATTTAACTCTGTATCACTATCACTATCTTCATCTAAACATAAACTTATAATTAAGGGTTGAACATTTGTAATCAAACAATTGTAAGAATTTTCCTTCAGTACATCATTTACATATTTCTACGTTTTTAATTATTTCTACAGCAGTTCTCGTTTTTTGTAAGTTTCTTCAGAATATAAATCACTTTCAATCATAAAATTTTGAATTTCTCCTTTTGTGTTATTAGAATCGGGAATGATTTTTGCTTGCCGACTATGATAACTAGCATTGTCCATTACAATAACGCTATTTTCGGGTATATTTTTAAGGAGTTTATGTTCAAACCAGACTTCAAAAAGTCGTGCGTCGGTATTTTGATGGTATAATGTAAAGAAGAATCTGATATGTTTTTAGCTGAAAGCAACAGACAATTTAAAACAAATCCATTTTCTGAACCAGCATTGTGATTCTTTTGCCTTTATTTGAAGGTGCCTTGGTTTGACATTTTTTAGAAGAATCATCCCAACCTTTTCTTGGAGTGTCATGGGCATCGAACTATGTTTCGTCAATGTAAATAATTGGCCGGTTTTCTTTCCTAAATTGTTTAACAGCTGTTAAATATCCAAGTCGCGACTGCCGCAAACGTTGAGATTCCATTAATGTTTGCCTTTTATTAATTGTTCGGTATTTAAAACCCATTTTACACAATAGGCTCCTTGCATCAAATTTTTTTATTGCTGATTTCGATAGTCCATGAAAAATAAGTCAACACGTGTTTTTTCTTTTTCTTCTTAGTCAAAAATTGACGGAGATACAACACTATGAAATCTGCCTATGACGTCACTTATCTAATAGATTAGTGACGTTGCACATGCTCAGTATATTTATATATACAAAACTTAATATTTGAATAACTTCCGGAATAATCATATTTGGGCGAAATAAAAAAAAAAGTAACAACAGCCATTTTTTGAGGGAAATCAAAGTCGGTACAGTTTGTTCCTGTTCCTCATACATTTGGTCAATCTTTCTTCTCAATAGCAATAGATCTATGTCATTTTGGTCAATGCTTCCAAAAGTACCAAAATCATTCCGTTTTTTTCTAGGATTAACAGGTTTATGTCTATGTCTCTTACCGAAGATAAAGGAGTTTTTGTCAAAGTAGACGTCTCTGCTAAAGAGTCAATCGAATTAAAATTTCTACTCAACAAAGATTGATACACATTTTCAATTATTAGTTTGGCATCGACAGATAAATGCTTTCTTTTAAAAATGACACTTGAAGATGCCCCCTATCAGTACAATCAAAAGGACGCCACATTATACCATAGATAAGTCCAACTGAAAATTACTCTCCGGAAAACCACTAAAAACTAAAATTATTAAATCAGTTGCTACTATTTATATTTTTGGTTATTTTGACCTGATATGCAATACAGATTATATTCTCAAAACTCGGATTAACCTAGGTCATCACTCATCAGCTATATACCTATTATCATTGTATATTATAAATAGAAATTGCGATACCTGATGGTCCGGCTCTGCTCCAAAAAGTTTCAAATTTGGGGTTTTATGATTTATTTCATGGTCAAAAGGATAATGAGGGTAATGTTGCATTTACTTTAGAAGACTGACGCGTTCCTGACCGCAAGTTGTATTTATGTGCGAATGGTTATGGTGGGGGAGGGGCGGGGCTTCGCAGTACGTGGCTAATCTGATCTTTCTCTGTGCTCAATGGGATCTTTCTTGCGTTTTCGAGGATCGGGTTCCAAATTTGGTTGAGTCTTAGTGTTTCTTCTTTCCTGTTGAAGTTCTCCGTATGTTTGTAGATTTCTATAGCTTCACGTACAAGACAATTTTGGTATCCGGAAGTCGGTGCAAGAAGCTATTTACCTCACCAAATAGTATTTCGTGATTTCCCTTACTAAGCGCATGTTGCGCTACTGCCGATTTTTCCGCTTGTCCTAGTCTGCAGTTTCTTTTGTGCCACCACAAGAGGTTTCAGGATTACCGGATAATATACTTTTACCTGTCACGAAACGCGATACGCAGAAACACCACGACTCCGAAGGAGGAGTGGTGTTGCTGGTAACGCGTTGAGTTGAGTGTCAGGTAAAAGTATTAGGTAATCCTGAGACATCGAGTGGTATTCAAAAGGTGATACAACGAACTAAACTTTAATACACGAAGCGCGATAATCCCAAAAGGCTTATCACTTGTTAAGCCACTCGTGTCATATGGGAAGAATGTACAGTGAGTTGTATAATCAAAAAAATCTGTGATATCTGCTGCTCACCTGGTACGTATATTAAGGCCACCAGGCCCTAGTCATAAAGGCCCTAGTCTTGTCATGATAACTGTCAGTTGGTTCCACAGAACATATCACCTGTGATATGTTCTGTGGTTGGTTCAATCATAGCCATGTCATAGTCATACTATTTGGAATTTATTTAAGAGGGGCGTCAGATAAGAGCTAGCGCGCCATCTTTTGGGCTTTATGTCATACATTAAATATTTTTTAATCACAGGTGTTCAAATTCTCTTAAGTGATTGACTTATTTACAAGTAGATGGCGACATCTTCAATATCAATTCGTTTACACAATAATTTACAGTGGACTAAATAATTTTATTCAGATACAAATGAAATAATAGAACATTTTTAGCTAGGTTAAACAGTTTTTACTGTCGTTTAAAAGAAGTGACCACCCTTCCCGAACTCAGCGACATCTTTTAGAGAAGCGCTGAACACACGTTTGGTTTGAGTCTCTGCTGTAAATGACAGCAATAAGCTCCTTGTCAGTCCTTATTTGGCAGATTTTGATTAATTTTCTTATAAAAATATTATAATTTTCGTAAATTCTGTTCTATTCATTTATTCCAGCAATTGACGATCCGAAATTTTGGAAATTTATTATTGGTGTGCTACTCTATACGTTTATGCGTTTTTCATTTAAATCCGTGACCAAAAATTGCATACTGTTGTCAACAAAATTAGTAATAATTTTACTATTTAGACTGCGTATGTTGCAACCAAAAATGCTTCGACTCATACTCCAATCTTTTATTTTTATGAACATAACTCCATTTCACTGAAAAGTGGTCTAAATTTGAAATTGAACAGAAATTTGTGAAGGTCTGTAAATGACATTTCATTTAAACGCCCCTCTTAATAAAGTAATTCAACGCTCAATAATAATAGTCTAGGAGGCAGTGACGAATTTCGGTACTTATTTTCCCAGTCAGACAACATGGATAGAATTGTAGGGCTAGTAATTCTAAGCAAAATACATATATTTTTAGGGGGGGTTTTCCGATGGGTTGAGGCGCAAAATGCGTTAAAGCTTACGAATGCTCGGCCCTTTTTTTTCTCAGTGATAAAAATAGGTCTACTAATGAGAAGTATACTGAAGTTACGTAAAAAAATAGTCCAGCTAATCTGTGAGTATGGAT